TACAACTTGTTAAGATTAATCCCGGTTTATTTGAAATATTGCTGCACAGACGTGCATGAAGACAGGACCCTTTTCTCTAAACAGAGGAAGCACAAATATAGAATTCTGTAAAATAACATCACGTTCCGCTTTTGTCAGACTATTGTGAGTTCATTTAGGAGCACATCGCTCATAAGAAGCTGATTTGGGGGCCTTTAAATTACGCATTTTTACGGGAGTCCACAGAGAAAGCCCTTGTTTGTCTTATACGGGACGTTTTAACCCTCCCAAAGAGAGCTATAAAAGTACACATGCTCACTCACTCATAACACAAAATACAACAATATCTGCTTGACTTCTCTCTATTTTTCCAGCTCTTAGACAACCCCGTGGCTCTGCTGCTAAGAACATAGTGGAAACACATTATCCCGCTGAGAGAGAACTTCGCGGCGGCACTTTAACACAGTCGGACGTTATTCTCATGCACCCATGGCATAGTGGCCGTGGCTTCGTGCTCACTCAATTATTAAGTAACCCCACTTCACATACAACTTATTTTCGTCCCCGTTCTGAGTCAAGCTGGTCTAATACCATGCTTGTTTGGCACTCTTTGAAGCAGAATAGGGTTTTTCTTTGTCCCTGTTTGATGTGCGTGCAGGCGCCTGTGGACAAATGATTCGCTTCTCTCCTGTCTTTGTTCTTTTGTGTTCATTTTCGTCTTTGTGTGATGTGGTTGTGCCGAAACTATTTGTCACATATTCACGAAACCATTATTTCCTAATGCTCTTAACGTGTGTTAATGTCAAGAGGATGTCACAACAATGCAAGGTGTTGGTTTAGCGTGCAATAGTTGATGTTAAATGAGGTGGTAGCACTAATTAGTGTCTTTACTCAACACCGGAGGATAGAAGCCTATAGAAAAGCTGGAAGAGCTAGAACTCATGCATCTAAGCAAAGAGGTTTTTTTTTTTTTGCTTTTTTTTTTGGCAAAATGTCCAAAGCCCACAAAAAAACTTGGCTTATATAAGATATTTCTCACTAATGATGCACCATAGTTGCTTTGGCGCCCACTTTTCTAAGGCTACAGGAAAATTAGCCCTTTAAATATTCCCAAACTTGCAGCCTAATGATTAACTTTGACTTTTGCTAAAATAATGTTTTTGAAATGTGCTTTACTTTGTAAAAGCTGGCTGTATTCTGTGTATACAGTATTTAAAAAAAAACACAACATAGTCATCATTTTAAAAAATGATTCTGCACAATGTTTTTATCCTTTGTCTTGCATGACTATGCACACTGGATTTCATATATTATTAATGATGTTATTAACGATGTTCTGTTGTGGTTTTACGCATGTGCAGTAGCCTGTAAAAGAACTCTACCCACCTGTGTATAACCAACTCTTTCCTGTTGTGGCCTGTGGGAAATCATATCTTCACCAAGCATGTAATTAGGCCCATCATACTAATACTGAGTAGTGCCTCCCATTGCTCAGCAGCCTTAATTCTTGGTGACATGGAAATACGCCTTTTGAGATTCTGCTCAGATTCAGATGCACATTCATGCTGCAAACCTCTCATTCTAACATGCCCCAAAGACGTTCTGTTGGTTTCAGATCTGGTGACTGGGGAGGAAAATTTGCTTTGTTGCATGATGCATTATCATGTTGGAGGTAGCCATCAGACAGTGCTTAAGCTGTGGTAATAAAGGGGTGCATGTGGTTAGCAGGAAGACAGTCTAAGGCATTCGCATGATGATTGATTGGTGTTGAGGCGGCAAGAAAACATTCCCAGGACTGTTGACACGAGACACGCTGGCTCTACAGATTCACACTGTTCCCGCCTCAGCAGGAAATCCAGACTCATCAGACCAGGCTGTGTTTTCCAGTCTTGAACTGTCCAGTTTTGGTAATCCGTGCCCACCGCAGCCTCAGATTTTCTGTCCTCGGCTGACAAAAGTGGAACCCAGCATTGTCTTCTGCTGTTTCATCCCGTATGACTCAAGGTTGCTTGTACTGTGCATCGAAAGTATTTTTTCTGCTTGCCACAGTCATAAACAGTAGTTATTCTGAGTTACCGTAACCTTTCCGTCACCTCCAGCCAGTCTGGCCGTTCTCCTCTGACCTCTCTCATCAACGAGACATTCCCTTTTACAGAACTGCTGTTCGCTGGCCGTCTTGTTGATTTTCGCACATTCTGAGAAGTCTAGTGGAGATCGGCGGTACTCGAAGCCATCTCGCTTCAGAGTGATTGAGATCACATTCTTCCTCATTCTGATGCTTTGCTGTGAACATAAGTGAAGTTAATGACGTGTATCTGCAGGATTTTCTGCATTGCAATGCTGCCACTAGATTGGATAATCAAACATACAGATGTTCCTAATAAAGTGCTTAGTGAGTGTCAGGGAAATCTGTATGTTTTTACTAACATTATATTTAATGCTAGAATGTAGTGGAAAAGCAAAACTGATGTATTCATTGTGGCCAGAGATGTTTAATCCCACCTAAACATGATGATATGAGCTGTAATCCTGTTGGTAGTGCCAGTGCAGTATGACATTCTCACTTTAGTAAATAATGTTGGCTTTCATGTTTCCTGGTAAGTCCGTCAGATTTTTGCCTGCAGAGCAACAACCATCTCTAGAAGTATCTGTATATAAATATAAATAGAAGTCCTTGCTGATGTAAAATGTGTAATAGATTGAACATGCGTGCTTTTTAGTGTTGTCGGTCAAGGCGGCGTTTTCAAAAGAGCAGATAATGTTGCTTCTATGCTAAAATGGAGCTTTAACTGGGGCAGAGATGATTGACAAGTAGAAACAAAACCTCCCTGGTCCCCCCCTAGTCCCAGCTGTGGTTTGTGACACTCAGAGCACTAATCCTCCAACTCACTTTCAAACACCGCTCATGGCCCACTAACACCAGGCTGGCAAACCAGATAATTAGATCAAGATGGCTGAAGAAAAAAAAAAAAAAAGTCAATGGGAAGAGAGTGCCTTAGAGAGTATAAGGAGGAAAAAAAGCCACTGAGTCTTGGTTTATCTTGGTTCAAGCCTTCAACAACAACAACAAAAAAAAACCCTGCCTTGAATCTGAATCAAAAGCCACCACGACTTTTTATTTTTTTGGCATGAACACAAGCTGAAGCAGAATATTGCTGATTTGCTGACCTGTAGTTTTCAGAAATTCATTTCCTATTTAACTCGCTGTAGATGCTAAGAATGTAGTGACAGGTAAAACTGAGGGAACAAGAGAAAGCCCCAGGTGTAAACCTTCTATGGTGAGTTTGCCCTTTTCATATTAAACACAATCCAACAGCTCTATTCTCAAGGTGCCTGTCAGCTCAGCCTGTTCAGAGCTAAAGCTGCGTAAATAAAATGTAACTGGTAATGGGAAAGGTGACGTGCAGATTCACATTTGTACCCATTTGGCCTTCGGAAACATGGTTATTTTCCTTAGCAGCAGGGGTTGTCAGGAACTCTGTATAGATAAGTTAGATTATAGATGATGGTTAGATATAAATGATAATAAATGTGTCACTCAAGTCGCTTAGTAAGTTCTTGGTCATTATTTTAATTCACAGACTTCTAGAATTCAACATCCCTTTACAGCAACGAATGTTTTAAGAAAAATCTGAATTATAACTTTATTTATAAAGCACTTTTCAAACTATGTAACGAAGTGCTTCATGTGGGGCAGAAAAATGGACAAATCTTTAAACAATTCTACTTTTAAACACATAGAACCAGTCAAAAGACAAAAATGACTTGAGTGAAATCAGGAAAGGCTCAAGAATTAAAGATTTAAGAAGAGATTTAAAACTGACTCAGTTAATGTGATTTCCCTCAGACAAGCTGTTCCAAAGCCTCGGGCCCTGACCACAAACCCTCCGTCTCCTCTAGTTTTCAGCCAAGAATCTGGAACCGATACAAGACCTCTGCCTGAGAATCTCAAGATTTCAGAAATACACATAGCAGGAAAAAGGCAACATAAGTGAGTCAACCAAGAGCTTTAAAAGTAGTATAAAAAAATCTTAAAATAACTCTAAGACAAATTAGGGGCCCAGTGTAAGGAGGGTAAAACAGCAGTGACCACCACTCAGTTCCCTACAGCCCAGATTCCTTACAACAGGCTCAGTATGTTCTGATATGGAACCAGCAGATGGCAGCATGTTTCTTGCCCTGTGCTGGGATGCTGCTGAGTTTCCCAGTTTGACCACTTGAGGTCAGTGTTGGCCAGGTATTCTTTCAGCTTTGGATGATTCATTTCAGTCAAATCAGTTTTAGTTTAACTTTTGGAGCATCCAGAATTTGCTATCGTCAACAATGTGAAAAAAAAAGTACACAATCTTGAAACTGGAAATATCCAGCGTGAGATATGTAAATTGTGGTATAATGCATTTATTTGCACATCATATGTTTGAGAATGCATCTAAAATGCTATCAGATCTGAATAGTTCATGTTAAACATTCCTCTTCCTGAAGGCTGACTCCTCAGAGAGTTTACTCTCCCTCACTTGCTGCCTGTCATTATGAGGAATGCCAAACAAAAAGCCTTGTGTGACTCGTACACTTCAGTGGTCACCTTTCCTGTTAGTGGCAGCTCTTTGAGAGGATTTGTAAGCACTTCAGTAACCACAGAGTGAGATCTCAGAGGACTTAGCATAATAGCCTTTGTGAATCTCCGCGGTTTTTGGCTGTACACCCTGTATGACCTCAGACTACTTTGGTAGGTCCAAAATTCTTCGCTCAGACACAACGCAAAGTCATGTGGACCACCTCGCCGTGGTTATCCGAGGACACAGGCTGCTCCAGACCACAAGGCTCTGACACAGCTACATTATGAATAGTCAAACACTTGAGAAAGCAAAAGTCAGTGTGTTTAATTATATCTAGTCAAACCGAAAACTTTTTTTTCTTTTACTCATTAAATGACTCACCAAGATCAATAAAAATACCCATTAAGTGTGATTCTGCTCAGTAGGCCGTCATTGTGCGTAATGCATCATGTCTCTTCTGTCCAGATAACCAGATCCTGCAATTTGGGAAGCTGGTCAGCACCTCCAACACCTACGAGCCCACTGCACCAGGAAACCCCAGGCAGCCTGTAACTGTGACCACAGACCAGCCTTTGCTTTGGAGCATGGGCATCCAGAAGAACGGGGAGTGACACAGAAGAAATCCTTCTTCGTAATGAAAATGACAGGACAGATGCATGCACCTACTTTTCTAGAGCTGAGCTACTGCAACGTCACCAGTTTTTCCTTGTTATTTATAGCACGCTGTAGGAGAGGAAAAAGCTGGAAGCACTGTCATATTATACAGGGCCAAAATGTTCACTCAACTGTTTGAGACCATGTGACAAAATAAAAGTCATCTCAGGTAGAACAGGACAATATAAAACTGACTAAAGAGCGACCAATCTCTTCTCTGTACACCACAGTGGCCATCCTTGTGAGGTGTTGATACTTGAGTGGCCACTCATCAAATTGCTACGACTTCTATGATGTCAATGGGGACCATACTAATTTACTGCATCCTTGCTGTGATGCATCTTCATTATCCAAATTTAAATAGAACCATTTCTAAGTTTATTCCTGCCTCACACATTAAATCATCCTCTACATGTGTGCAGGTATCTGGCTTGTATTGCAGCCTCCAACGTGTGCCTTCGACATCATCCTGTTCATTAGCAATATCTGCTAATTATGGAAAATTCAGAATGCCTAATTTCAAAAGTGTTTGTGCCTTTTGATGAGTTTAATATTGTACTTCTTAAAAATAAAAACTACCCAATTCTGTACATGTGCAGTGACAGCAAGGATATTTGATTGAACAGAACGGATCAGGCTTTGGGTTTCCATTTGTTTTATTTACACATCGAAATATAAATGAGCACAGAATGTAAAAATGCCATCCCTTCAGTCCCCCAGTCACACCAGCCCGATAACACGTTGCACCACAGCCTCTTGTCCACAGATGTTGCTTGACCAGGATTTAACCACCGCTAGAAGAAAAACAATAAAGGCAGTGTTAGCAGCTGGAGAAATGTATCCATATTTTTTATTTACCTAAACATTCAGTTTGAATGACAGCACTCTTTTCTGCATAAAAAAAGCCACTCTTGAAAATGCAGTGACCGCATATGTCGGTACCACTGAAAATTAAATGATATGTTTGTATGTTATCTTCCACTGTGCACAAAAATAAAATGACCAACACAATCAGCAATGCTTTTCCTCCTCTTGTGTTTTGTGTAATTACATGTATAATGTTTAAGAATGTAAATGTTGGTGGTATTTTATCATTATTGATCAAATGTAGAAACATCTTTCACCAATTCTGATTTTTTCCTAATTATAATAAAAGGTTTGTGATCATAATACAATATCACTCAGAGTCACTTTGTCATTGGGATAAAGTGATTTCTTTAGACCATACAACGTTTTAATGTTAATTATAACGGACAAGTGAAACCTACTGGAGCTTGTAAAACATTAATTTTGAGCATATCATCATTCAATTTTTTGTGAATGTTTTCATGATAAAATTAACAAATTAAGAGTCTAAAATGAGCTTAGTTAAATAAGTGTCCTTAAAATTTGCTTACAGATTAAGAATAAACAAAAAAATATGGAAAAAGACAAGTTACTTTTGGAACGTGAGAGTAAGCTACTTAATAAACCTTCCACGCTGTACCACAGATGGACAGACATGTTATCCACCAGTGAATTTCTTCATTCTTCTGTCAATTAAGTGACTTTTAAGTATGTAGATAATGTAAGCTAAAATCAAATTATCAAAATAAAAATAGTGTCTGGATCAGTAATTCCATTAGCAATTACAAACTCCTCTCTTTCTGAAAAGTAATAACTGATTTTAGGGAGACTCTGGGACAAAATCTTTCATTAGTGCATTCCCAGACAGAGTTCGGACACAAATAATATAGACAGCAGGGGAAAAAAGCCCTCAGCTCTTTAATTATTTATCTTAAGGAGAAATTCGAACATGTATTACAATCATTAAGGTATCATTTATCATGTAAATGATTCACTTACACAATGATGTTGTTGATAGGGATGTGAATGAGCTTGACGAAGAAACCAATGAAACCCATGATGGCAAACCCAATCGCTGTGGCCATGGCAATCTTCTGGAATTCTGAAAGGTCGAAGAAATAATAATAACTGTCAAAACTACTGCATGAAAATAAATTTGCCGCATAACAGAATGATACACTCTGTATTTCAAATGTGTTAGCAGACCAGCTCAGACTTGAAATTGGGGTTAAAAAAAAATCGACAGAATAAAAAAACCTACCTTTTCTGTCGGGTTTTGTGCACCTCTTTACGAGCCTTATGGAGTCTTTGACAAACTGCCGGCTGGGCTCAACAAACTGCATTACTTGATCCATGGTGCTTAGCTGTGGACAGAAACAAAAATGAAGTCAGTATTAAAGCTCGGGCTACTTTCAGTGCTGACGTTGACTTCAGCAGACTGAGCCCTTACAGCTATAACATCTTTATAATCGTTAATATACCGCAGATACTGTGTATTTCCATCACATATTAACCAAAACATCAAAAGACGTGAGTACAGTCATGAGGAGACGTGATTTAAAGTTTGTTACGTTTGTACAGCCTTAGCATTGCTAACGTTAGCATAAGAAGAGCTAACTATCATGTCCACGTAACGCTAAGCTAGCTCGAAGGCCAAACAAGTAAATACAATTTAAAGGTCCAACAACACTTACTTTGTTTAATATTCCAGGTAAACAAAATGTTAGAAAGAACAGTTGAACGCTTACCTATTTCTGACGAGGTCTTAAGCGAGAAGACAGTCAGCGGACTGAGAGAGCCACGTAGCTTTAACAGACTGTGGTGAGAAAAGGAGAGCTGACGTAGGCTTTAACAGCGCATGCGTACAGTGTTTCCGGTTGTTTGAATGACTGTGTAGAGCGCCTCCTGCAGGCTGGGAGGTTTCGATACAGCGACAGGCCGCAGGGCCGATTTGATTGCAGCAAAGGCAGCACAGTTTAACGTAATTAGGGTCCGAGCACCCAAAAGGGTGCGAAGACCCTATTGGAACTACTCGGATTATTATTATTATTCGTGCCAAAGAGACGCGTTTTTGAGGCCCTAAACATACTAGAAAATTCACCAAAATTGCCATGTACATCAGACCCGGTGAAAAATTTTATAATTTGGAAGAACAATACACACCTCAATAGAAAAATTGCTCCACAGCGCCACTTTCTAAATTGTCAAAAGCACATTTGGCCTAGAGCTACGCAATTTTGTAGGCATATAGAGCAGGTCAGGCTCGCCACTAAACAGGAAGTGGCTCGTAACTAGGCCACACTTGCTCCGATCTGCCCCAAACTCGTCATGCTGGATCACAGTTCTGCCCGGAGCAGGTTTGCCCCACACCCCGCCGTGCGCAAAGGCCGACAAGCGTAGGGCGAGGACCCGTCCATCGCCGCTTGCGGCTTTAATCTGTTTTTGGAACTGCACTTAAATGTTATGT